GGTATTGAGGAGGGCACCTTTTGGGATGAGCACTGGGTGTTGTATGGAAACCAATTTGACAATAAATTTCATATATTGAAAAAATAAATAAAAAAATAATAAAAAAAATAAAGTAATATTACCAGTGGTGTTTTTTCTATTTGTCTTATAACAGAGCTATTTTGATACAAATTCTTCATGTTGACTAAATATTAATATTCCAGTTTTTCTCTACTTAAAATACTGCCTGGTTCTGATGAGAAGTTGAGGTATGGAGGGCTGAATAAAATAGGAGATTCTTATTATGCAGTTCTGATTACATCTGTGCACATTCTAGGTTGGAAAGAAATGTATGTTTTGCCTAACAATAATGTCACTGCTGTCATTCATGAATTCAGCCTCCTGGGTTTCTCGTATAGTCAAGAAATAGAAGTTCTCCTTTTTGTTTTGTTCTCTGTCATCTACATCTTGACCTTGTTGGGCAACAGTGCTATTATCTGTGCTGTGTGGTGGAACCAGCAACTCCACACCCCTATGTATACTTTATTGGCCAACTTCTCTTTCCTGGAGATCTGCTACATCAGTTCCAGTGTACCCAACATGTTGCTCAACTTCCTATCCAAGACCAAGACCATCTCTTATAATGGCTGCATCTTACGGTTCTACATCTTCCTCTCTCTTTGTGCTACAGAACTCTTCTTTCTGGCCCTCATGGCATTAGATAGGTATGTTGCCATCTGCCACCCACTGCACTATTCTACCATAATGACTGGGAAAGTCTGTGGAACCCTTGTGTCTGCTTGCTGGGTGGGTGGCTTTCTCTGGTTGGTGACCCCAGCCATACTTATCTCCCAAGTTCCATTTTGTGGTTCAAATGTCATTGACCACTACCTGTGTGATCTTGGGGCAATGCTGGCCATATCATGTTTACCTGTCCCCAAGACAACTCTGACTTGTAGCATTTTCAGTGCTGTGATAACATTCATCACTTTGTTCTATATCCTTGTGTCCTACACACTGGTCCTTCGAGCTGTGGTTCAGGTTCCCAAAGGTTCAGGTAGGAAAAAAGCCTTCTCCACGTGTGCCTCCCACCTGATAGTGGTGTCCCTATTTTATGGCTCAGTCATGGTGATGTATGTAAGCCCAGGGGCAGCCAATCAGCCTGGTATGCAGAAGTTCTTGACCATGTTATACTCAATTGCAACTCCACTTTTAAACCCTCTGATCTACAGCCTCAGGAATAAGGAGATGAAAGTTGTCCTGAGGAAAGTTATGTGTAAAGTTTAGAAATAATTCCTGAATGGGAGATGACATAGTGCAATAAATTACTTTTGAGTTCTGTTATAAAGAATATAGAAAAATTATACTTAAAAGTAGGAAAAGGAGCTAGATCTAGAATGTGTCCACATGAGAATTCCTTAAAATTCCAAGCTTGTCTGCATTCTGTATTGATTGAGTGACTATGGTCAAGTTACTCAAATTGTTATTTGAGTATCTGTTATTTGAGTTATCTGTTTTTCCAATTTTAACTGGAGATGACCTTAATAATCATATCTATATTATAGAATGTTTGAGATTAAATGACTTACTATATGGAATCATTTAAAATAGTGCCTGGCTCTCAATAAATATTATATGATATGATAATATATTATTATTAACAATTATATCCAAATTTATTATCATTAGCTATCATTGTCAAGTAAGAGCTTCAGCAGTTTCTTTTGTCAAACTGTGAAATGATAATCATATTTATATAAAGAAAAAAACAGTCTATTTTTAAGGAAAAAAAGTTTTGTTTCTTGAAGGAGGTCTATATAAATACAAACCAAAACAAGAATAATTTTTGCTCCACCTCCTCCCCACATTTCTTCGTGTTATGAAGATGATGACAATGATTTGTTGGACAAAGATTGTTGAAGACTGTGTTCTGGTTCCACCTCAGTGAATCAAAGCCTTCATTCCCAATTTTTAAAAAGGACACTTTGGAGGTTTTATGTGGATCAAATGATCAATCACGTATAAAAGTATTTGTAAAATGCAAAGTACAGTCAAAAGATGAAAGCAGTCAAATGTCCATCTACAGATGAATGGATCAACAAAATGTGATATATACAAACACTGTAATATTATTCAGCCTTATGAAAAGAAGGGAAATTCTGGGGCACCTGTGTGGCTTAGTCGGTTAAGCATCTGACTTCGGCTAAGGTCATGATTTCAAGGTTCATGAGTTTGAGCCCTGTGTCGGGGTCTGTGCTGACAGCTCAGAGTCTGGAGCCTGCTTCAAATTCTCTGTCTCCCTCTCTCTCTGCCCCTCCCCCACTTGTGCTCTGATTTCTCTCTCTCAAAAATAAAACGTTAAAAAAAAGAAAGAAAATTCTGAAACATGAATGCACCAGCTTCTCACAAAATGACAAAGACTGTATAATCTCACTTTTATAAGGTTCCTAGAGCAGTCAAATTCATAGAGATAGGAAGTAGAATGGTGGTTGCCAGGGGCTGGGGAAGGGGGATGGAGAATAATTGTTTAATGGATACACATTCTGTTTTGGAAGATGAAGAATTCTGGAGACCAGTGGTGGTAATGGTTGCTCAACAATGTGAACGTGCTTAATGCCACTGAACTGTGCACTTAAAATATTAAGATTTGTTAAATGTCATGTGATATATACTTTACCACAATTAAAAATAATTTTGAAATGTTAAGTGCATTACCAATGTCAGTTTTGTTTTTGTTTTTGTTTTTGTTTTTTGATTGTTATAATGTTAGCATTTTCATTATATTCTTTTCCAGCAACACCTGCTGCTGCAGTCTTGTCTGTGTGTGCATTTTCTTTCCATCTTGTGATGTTGCTGTTACACTTTTTCTCAGTAATTGAAACTACAGATAGGATAGGCTTTTTTCCCTTCAGGTCAAGAATATTTCTCCACTCCCCAGCTCTATCATTGCTCTACCCTCCAAGGTGCCTGCCCCTTTGTTTTGCTCTTTGAGGACACAGAGAGTGGTCTCAAGGAGGCAGCCACCCCCCCCCCCCCCCCCCCCCCCCAAGGGCAGACTTTCACCTCAGGGACTTTCTTCTACCCTAGTGCTCATGATTGTTAGAAACTGCATTATCACCAGGGATAAAATTAAAGAAAGGAATAATTTTGGTTCTGGCCTGAGGTGTGTAAACCCTTGGCACATGAAGAAATTTGCTCTGAGGCTTCTCAGTGTTGCCAAGTCTTTAGATCACATAGCAGAGCCTCTCCTGAGGCTCTGAAGTACCTCCTAGCTGAGCTGACTGGCTTCTGCCTGGTGTCAAATTCCTCCCCCACTGTGAGCCAGAGTTGTGATGTGCCTGACCTCAAGGAGGAAGAGAACTCATCCTCTGTCTGTATGCTTTTCTTTTTTTCCAAGTTTTTATTTAAATTCTAGTTTGTTAACATATAGTATAATATTGGTTTCAGGAGTAGAATTTAGTGATTCATCACTTACATATAACACCCAGTGCTCATCACAAGTGCCCTCCTGAGTACCCAAAACCCATTAGCCCATCCCTCACCCACCTCCCTCCATCAACCTCAGTTTGTTCTCTATGATTAAGAGTCTCTTGTGGTTTGTTTGCCTCTCTTTTTCCTCCTTCCCCTATGTTCATCTGTTTTGTTTCTTAAATTCCACATATGAATGAAATAATATGGTATCTGTCTTTTTCTCTCTGTCTAGCACTGCACACCTCAGGTGGACTTGATCTTACATACCCATCCCAGAAATAGATGTGCGACACATGCAAGCAACATGTATAATGTAAAATTTTCTACCACACAAAAAATGAAAAGAAACAGTGAAATTAATTTTAATGACCCATTTGTTCAATATAAAAATGTTTTAACTTGTAATCAATATAAAATTATTAACCAGATGTTTTGTATTAGTTTTTTGTATACTAAGTCTTGAGAATGGGGCTGAATTTCATACTTACAGTACATCTCAATATGGACCAGTCATATTTTGAGTGCCAGTAGCCACAGCTAGCTAGTGGTTACCATAATGGACAGTGCTGTTCTGTGGCTTCTTATGTTCTCCTTTGTAATGAGAGTGGGTGTGGATGGGGTGGATTATGGTTAGTAGATTGGGAGCTTTCAATTAGTAACCTTAGATAAATGACTTCTTGTCTTTTCTTTATTCTGTCTCCGTTCCTCTTTGTCCTCTTCCTCTAAAGGGAGATTGAACTTTACAACATAGCTTTTAGAGAGGAAGGAGGGATAAAAACCTGGAAGCAGCAAAAGAGACAAGGAAGACTCTCTTTGTTATTAGTGGAGTGAGATCATAGCCATTTTGGGAGAAGGCAATGTACTGATGCTGTCTTCACAGCAGACAGTGTAGAAAGGTTGATGGGGAGGGAGATGAGGGTAACTTTACCAGGAGACGGTAGAGCTTTGCTGCTTCTCTTTAGTCTTGCTGATGGTGGTGTGGAGGCCAGAGGATGTGTGGTCTTACACATGGAACTCTGGGGCCTACAAAGTCTTCCAAGCAGCACACTTGGTATTGGCAAAACACGGATACATATGATAGGATCCTTGTTCTTGAGGAATTCTTGACTTATGTGGGCATAGATGTGTTAATTCCAAAGAAAAATGCTAAGAGAGAAGAATGCATAGTGTGCCAGAGGAACATAGAAGAGTGTTGGACTAAGTATAGGTTAGGAAAGTGTTGGTGGGAAGTGTCAAAGAAGAGTTCACAGAGAACCTGATAAATCATCTGAATCTTGAATGACAAGCTGGAAGTTCTTTGGGTAGAAGGGAAGGAGGAAGGTGAATGATGACATTACAAGCGGAAGGAGTATTGCTGAGTTTAGAATGAATGGGGGGGGGGGGGTCCTGAAAGGAGATGACGGGAACTTAGAGACACTAAAGAGGTTGAACTTGATCCTGTAGGGGAGAAGGAAATATTTAAGAATTGAAAGCAAAAGAATGATATAATCAGACATGCATTTTTGAAAATTTGGCATCTTTGTTTAGATTCTGTGTCACTGAGTGCCACAGTATAGCTCCATCTTTCATCAAACAGTGTAAGCAATCCAATTAACTTTAAGGAGAAGATGAATTCAAATTAATGGTATTGACTCAATCTTTTGAGAATTTCACAATTCCTCTTGAAAACATAGCTGACATCTCAGAGTCTTACAGTCAAGGTGGGAAATCTCTGTTTTATATTAACATTGTCAGAGTTTAAGGTTAGTAGTTTGAAGTTGCAGTTGGGAAGGTGTTCAATTAAAATCATATTTCAGTCCTAATTGAACATGCCCAAATGGAAATTCTGAGCCTTTCATTCACCATAGACTCTAAACAGTAGAAAGATCTCTGGGCTTTGACCACATATTTGACTTGACATCTGAGAACCATTTAAAAAGGAAGGATAACAATGATAATAACAACAGCAACTCCTTTATGTTACCTCAAGCCCTATGTTTTGTGGCATATTTCCATGGAGGCTTTTTGCTCTTGCATATTGAAGTTATGACAAAGTCTGTGTTAAGTGTTTTACAGCTGTTATGAGCCAGCAGAAACTACTCTTTAAAAATTTTTTAAAAAATGTTTATTTATGAGAAAGAGAGGGAGAGAGAGATTGCGAGCTGGGGAGGGGCAGAGAGAGAGGGAGACACAGAACCTGAAGCAGGCTCCAGGCTCTGAGCTGTCAGCACAGAGCCCGACTCAGGGCTTGAACTCACAAACTGTGAGATCATGACCTGAGAGCCGAAGTCAGATACTCAACCAACTGAGCCACCCAGGCACCCTGAAACTACTCTTTGTAAAGAGGTTAAAAAGCTATGTTCTAGAATATGGGAACCTATCTTAAGAGATTAGAATATAACAATTCTTGGGGTGCCTGTGTGGCTCAGTTGGTTAAGTGTCCGACTTCGGCTCAGGTTATGACGTCACTGTTCATGGGTTCAAGCCCTGCATTGGGCTCTGTGCTGACAGCTCAGAGCCTGGAGCCTGCTTCAGATTCTGTGTCTCCCTCTTTTCTGCCCCTCCCCTGCTTGCACTCTTTCTCTCTCAAAACTAAATTCTGAAATAAAAAATTAAAAAAAATTCTCCAACAAATGTATGATGTGTAAGATTTGTGAGAGTTCTAAGCGTAATAACCTGGTTTAGTAACAGATCTAGTGAGTTCTGAAGAATCTTACATCCCTTGTATGTGCTATTAAAATAGCAAGAGAGCTAGGTTGGTTTTATAATGGTGTATGGGCAGTTAATACAGTTCCCCAGGTTTTTGTTTAGTGTGGTGATTAGCTTTGTGTTCTTGAGGATGTACATTGTAGGTTTGAAGGGTAGACATTGGGTCACCTTGGATGAAAAAAGTCTTAAGGATATGTTCCATATTCTTTCAGTTGATATTGACATACATCATCATAATGGAGGTATAAAATAGTGTTGCTATATTCATTTATAATGCCCAGTTTGCAGAACTAGGCCAGCAGCACAGTATGAAAAGCTAGGTCTTGCTGCTAAGGACAGAGAGAAAAGTAATAGTGCTGAAGAAAGCTCTGAAATGTCTTTGGAGGGAAATGTGGCTACATTGACCTAAATCTAAAATGCTCTCACTTTATGACTCACAATTTTTATTTCTCAGAATTTATCCTTCATAAACATTGTTTTTTTAATTTGTGCCATTTTAGAATTAGAAAATTGAAGGGAATAAGCCCACAAATATATACATTTTAATATAGTCAACCACAGATTGTTTTCTTCATATATTTATCAAAAAGTAAATATTTAATTCAATTAGTCACATTATTCTCCAAACAACCTTATTTTTTAGTGGATCAAATATGAAAAGTTTTGGGGCACCTGTGTGGCTCAGTTGGTTAAGTGTCCAGCTCTTGATTTTGGCTCAGGTCACGATCTTACCATTGTGAAATCAAGCCCTGCATGGAGTTCTGCACTGTCAGCGTTCATATTCTCTCTCTCTCTGTCTCTGTCATGCTCTCTCTCAAAATAAATTAAACTTAAAAAATTGTAAAAACAAATATGAAACATGTTCACTGGTTACTTAATATCCAGATGGGTGTTCCTGATTGACAGATGATTGTTTTTCAAATGATGATTCTGGAATTCAAGGTATTTTCCATCCTTGCCTTCATCATCTTCAAAACTTAGCTTCCTAGGTCAACATACTTAATTATATCCAAGATCATCAAGGATGATGCCTGGATAAAGCTTCAAGTGTTACACATCAATTTTAATTACATTCTACTAATTAGAACTCAGTTACATGAGCATACATACCTCCAAGGAAGCCTTAAAAAATATATTATTGACTTGAAGAAGAGGAAATGAATTTGTCTCTGTCAGTGTCTTAACTTCTTAGTTGACCAACATCCATCCTATGTGATCTACATGTAGGGATAAGCAGTTTGAAAAGTATGGAGATGCTGTAGATGTTTAATAGGCTCATTCAGGATATAGTGGACAGGATCTTTAAACTGTCATTTGGACAACAGGAATGGGAGACTCTAGGTCTAACAAACCTTGAAAGTAATGACATGAAAGCATCTCATGTCAAACAAATTTTTTAGCTAAGAAGTAATTTATTAAGGGGGTGCCTAGGTGGCTCAGTTGGTTAAGCATTTGACTCTTGATTTCTGCCTGGATCATGATCTCACAGTTCCTAAATTCAAACCCTGCGTTGGGCTCTGCACTGACAGCATGGAGCCTGCTTGGGATTCTCTGTCACTCCCGGCCCCTCTCCTGCTCATACACGCTCTCTTGCACTCTGGCTCTCAAAAATAAACAAAAATTAAAAAAAAAAAGTAGTTTCTTAAGGTTAGGAGAGGAAACCCTGGAAGGAATAATACTATGTTAGCTTGGAATATGTGTGTATATGTGCATACGTGTGTGTATTTGTGAGTGCACCTATGAATGTGTGCACATTCGTGTAGTTCTCATCTTCAATATGATAATCACTGAGGGTGAAACATGCTCAAGTCTGTATGATGCACGTTAATTGCCTCCATTGCTCCTGTGGTTGAGGTCTCCAGAGACAGGCTTCAGAGTCTGGAAAGGATCAGTAATGGGGAATGGAAAGATTTGTGGCTTGTTTTATTCTCTGAGTAAAACCTGAAAGGGATCTTTGTAAAGAAAGGAACCAAAAAGCGTCCTACCAAGGAGCTGATATCTCTGACTTCTGGGCTGCGCTGGGATAAGTAGGTCTGGTCACATGGAACAATAACTTCTTTCCTGTATCTCAATGTCCATTTTGTTTTATCTATTGATAAGAAAATGGAGCAAAATTTTCATGATTATTTTCCTTTGCAAACACCATTCCTCTTATACAAACCATATTAGACATGGGATTAAAGAAATGTTTTCATTAAGTTATCATTCTGTCTTTGCAGGTCACCTTCAAAAGAACTGTTCTTTGAGGGTAGGAGGTTTTTCTAAGTTTCTAGTTTCTTTTTCTTTTCTTTTTATATGGAAATAGTTCATTTTTTTTACCTTTTTAAAAAATGTTTCAAGTTTTTATTTAAATTCTAGTTAGTTAACATATGGTATAATATTGGTTTTAGAAGTAGAATTTAGTGATTCATCACTTACACATAACATCCAGTGCTCATCACAAGTGCCCTCCTCAGTACCCATCACCCATTTAGCTCATTCCCCACCCACCTCCCTCCACCAACCCTCAGTCTGTTCTTTATTATTAAGAGTTTTTTATAGTTTGCCTCTCTCTCTCTTTTTTCTTTCCCCTCTATTCATGTGTTGAAAAGGACTGTATTCTTAGCCAACAGGAAAAGGGATCAATTTTTCTTTAAAACACTGGCAAGAATTTAGATGACTCTCTTGTTTACTGTTCTCTTTCACATGAGTGACAACATAGCAGATCAACACCCATTATGTGTGGCTTGTAGGAGAGGAAAACTTTGTAAGTGGAAGCTAATTTATTTAATGAGGTATAATACTCAGATACAAAGGAGTCAAAAGAAAACAGGGGACTGGGGAATGAAGCGGGCTCAGAGAGAGACCCAAAGGCGAGGAAAGGCAAGGAAAGGAACACTTGTCTTCAGCATGCTGACGTGTGGGAACAGAAGGAGCCAGGATGTTCAGAGTGGCTCTCTCCTGTGAGGCATCCCAGGTGAGAGAACAATCAGAAGAGATCTAAAGAGTATTACTGTGGCAAATGGAACGTGAGGTCTCTTTTCTGTGTCTTCTCAGCTCCTGAGGAGCATTTCATTACCTGTACTGATTTTAAAGCCTAGGAGGTTAGGTGTCTACCATTGCATGTCTCTTGAATCCATTCCTGGTATCTTTTTGCTTATACATTACCCTAAGTCAGGCTCTTCAGGCTTTTTCTTTGGGCTACTGAAACTGCTTTCTAATAGTTTACTGCAAATTCATTACCCTCTAATTGTCTTGCAAATGTAGCTTCCATAAACCTTTGATCCTTGTGTTCTTGTACTAGTCTAGCTCCAATTGTTTTCCATTGACTAGCAAATGAAGCCTGAATTAGACTGGCAGTGAGTGAGTCCTCTGCCATGTGGCCCAATCTGTGAAAATTGTATCCCACTGTTCCTTAACAAGTACTCTAATTTTCACTCTTTTGGGCTTTTCTCTAAACACAACGTCTTATAGCCAAATCTTTTCACATTATCATTAGTATATGCTATTAATGTTCTGCCTCCGTCACTGACCTTTTGCTAAAGCCTTTCCTTATTTTTTCCAACTGAGTATAATCATGTCTCATGATGAGAAAATATTTTGTTCTGATTTGTCATATGCTGTTACAGTATCAATGGCAGCACCATGATATAGGTGAAGGGATGTTTGGGGCTCCCTACGAATTTCCCCAAAATAAACATAGTCTCAGTAGAAACAATTTCCTTTCTATGCAAATGTGATTCCAAGGTCAATCTCCTCAGATCTCTTCCAATCAGATTTAAGCTCTTAAACTCCTTTTATGTAGAAATTCTGGAGCCATGGATGTATTGTTTGAAGTTGCTTTGAACAAAATATATTTGACATAAGTTACAAAAGAGCAGGGACTCTGCATTTTTATTCATCACTTTTTTGCTATCTCCCAGAACAGTGCCTGGCAATAATATGTACATAATAAATGTTTATTGAATAAATGAGAGAGGGAAGGAGATGAAAAGGAAAGAACTCACCCTTCCAAAGGGAAGTTAGTAATATCACAAGCCTGAATTGAGGAAAACAAGCATGTATCTCTTCACCAGGACAAAGAAAGAAGAAAAATAGTGTTAATATTTCTGTGGTTCTTACAGTCTTCTGTCACTTCCACAGGTCACACTAATAAGGACTGTGGAGACTACTAACATCTCTGGGTCTGTGAGTGAGTTCATCCTCCTGGGCTTCCCATGCCACAGGGAGATCCAGATCCTCCTCTTTGTCATCTTCTCCCTCATCTACCTTCTGATTCTCATGGGGAACACATCCATCATCTGTGCCATGTGGTCAAGCCGGAAACTCCACACACCCATGTACATCCTCCTGGCCAACTTCTCCTTCCTGGAGATCTGCTATGTCAGTTCTGATGTGCCCAAAATGTTGGCCAACATCATCTCCCAGACTAAGAGTATCTCCTATGCTGGCTGCCTGCTCCAGTTCTACTTCTTTTCCATGTGTGCCGCTGAGGGCTTATTTCTGTCAGTGATGTCTTTTGATTGATTACTTGCCATTTGTAGACCTTTCCGCTATCCTACCATAATGACCCACCACCTATGCACTCAGTTAGTGGTCTTCTGCTGGGTAGGGGCTTTCTCTGGTTACTGACTCCTTTGACTCTAATATCTCAGGTGCCTTTCTGTGGTCCAAACACTACTGACCATTTTCTCTGTGATCTTGCACTTTTGCTGGCATTGTCCTGTGCTCCAGTATGTGAAATTACTCAAATCTGTGGTATCAATAGCTCTCTCATCATCTTTCTCACTTTCCTGTACATGGCACTTAGTTCTGTGTCTTGAGTGTGGTGTTATAGGTGCCCCCAGGCTCAGGAAGGCATAAGGCTTTCTTTACTTGTGCCTCCCACCTTGCTGTGGTATGTCTGTTCTATGGTTCAGTCATGGTGATGTACATTAGCCCAGGTTCTGGGGACTATCCTGGGATGCAGAAATTTGTGACCTTGTTCTATGCTTTCGCAACCCCACTCTTTAATCCCTTGATTTACAACTTCTGGAACAAAGATATGAAAGAGGCACTCAAGAAAATTCTGAATGTGTTATTATGGGAAATCTCTAAAGGATTCAAAAGTTGAATTTAGTATACGGCAAGTCTAGGAGGATGGAAGGTAACAAAAATGAGATTATGGTTTTTTCCCTTCATTTTATTTTATTTTAATCTATTGGGAGGATGATTTCTAAAAATTTACTAGACTCATGATTTAAGTCTTAGGAAGTTATTATTCTTATGTTGCAGTTACCTTAGATACAGTTAGTTTGAAATACAACTTGGTAAGATTTTCATGTATTCCTCTATAATTGAGTTTTTTAGTTTCTTTTGGTTTTAATTAAATACTACTTGATGTCTTTCAACATTTTCAAATTCTGCTTTCATCAGAGCCAGTTGTTCTTTTCAGAAAATAACGAATGTTGAATGTATTGTAATCACACACATAATTAACCAGTTTTTTAAAAAAACCCTCAATATCGGGGACAATTTTAAACTTTCTTAAAAAAAAAAGGTTTCATTAATTTTTGGGAGAGTGCAAGTGTGGGAGGGGAAGAGAGAGAGAGTGACAGAGGCTCTGAAGCAGGCTCTGCACTGACAGCACTGAGCCCAATGTGGGGCTTGATCTCATGAACCATGAGATCATGACCTGAGCTGAAGTCAGATGCTCAACCAACTGAGCCACCCAGGTGCCCCTCAGGAACAGTTTTAAAGCACTACTTTTACATATTCCATAATTCTCAGTATAGTTTTGGGCACCAACAAGCATCCTCAGTAAGATTATATTGACTTGCTTGACTCCCACATTTTGCCAGTGCTTTCATTTTAGGAGGTAGGTCTAATGGAGATATATATTTTTCATGAAAGTCCACTCCTAATTCAAATGTCTGATCCTAAATTTGATAACCTCCTTTTAAATTAGCCCTAGCTATACTTATTTGTCAATGGCTCCACTGATCTATAACCTGAACCTAAAATCTTAACCTTCATAAATCCCTTACCTTTTCATTGCCAATCTTAATGTGATTAAGTTCTGTGGCATCTTCCCTGTGATCCTTTGTTGTCCTCCTTCATTTTTGTCTAGGTTCTAGCACTCCATGCCTTTAAAGGCATAACTTAAACTTCTTTTCCATCAGTCCTTACACTTATCTCCTTTCTACTTATACAAACTTTGGAGACAAATCCCAAATTCCTCAGTTCTGTTTTGTTTGGTGGTTTTATGTCATCATAAATTTGTTCAAACCAGAAGAATATACAACACCAAGAGTGAACCCTAATGTAGACTATGGACACTGGGTGATGATTCTATGTCAATGTATGTTCATCAGTTGTAACAAATATACCACTCTGGTGGGGGGTGTTGATAACGGGGGAGGTTATGTATGTGCGCAGTTAGGGGGCATATGGGAAATCACTGTGAACCTCAAACAACTCTAAAAAATAAAATTTCAAATAAACAAATATATATAAATAAATATATATACATACACATATATAGTTACATTTATATACTGCTCTGTGTCTGATCTGTGACATCTAACTTATCGTCCTCATTTTGCTACTTGTTACTTAGTTATAAGATGGCACTAAACATCCAGGTTTTTCCCCATTCCAGGGTGGAGGAGCTTGAAACAGCAGCTTCTAGTTCCCAGAAAGCAGAAGCCCCCTCAGAAACCCCCAGTCTAATTCTCATTGGCCGGAATTATGTCACATGACCAAACTAGCTGCAAGGAAGCTGAAAAAGCAAACGTTTTTAGCTGGACTCATTGCTACTCTGAACAAAGTCAGGCTTCTTTTAGTTACGGAAAAGGGCGATGAACTTTGGGTGGGTGACAGTAGTCCCTGGCACAAGACGGATCTGGAGAGCTTCTCTAATCACTTTGGACTTCATGAAACTCAACAACTGATAACACTGACCTTTGACAAGTATGAAAAAGCTAAGGAAGATGAGCATACAAACTTTCCAGAAGCCACTATGTTTATAAATCTGACTGGAGGCAAGTAAGACAGAACTGTGGACTAACCACTTGAAATCACTTTTTGTTGATCATAATAAATGATATTTTTGTAAACAATTGGTACAACCAAATTTGAATAATAATGAGTTTTTCTTTTTTTTATTATTGATATTTTATTTTATTTTATTTTTATTTATATGAAATTTATTGTGAAATTGGTTTCCATACAACACCCA